ACAATATTTGCTGACATCCCAAAACTAGTCACATGCTCCAATTTTACACTACCATATTGAATATTGACCAAAAGGGTACACATTAGTTTTATCATCTCTAAAAACTGTTGGCTAACAAGTGTGGCAGTGGAAATTTGGAAAGTATAGTGGGTGGAGAAGAGGCTGACAGGCCACTTGTACTGTTTGAGATGTTGAGGTCACAGTAAGCAACAGATTTTGAGTGAGGTAGAAAACATTTTTCTGAGACCTTTTCTTGCTGGCATACCTCTCTCATCCATGTGTGTGTGATGGGCAACCAGAAACTGACAAGGCCCCTTCACCATTTTCACATTAAGACCAGGTTTAAGACTATAGGTCTAAGGGCCCAGCGGCATGGCCTAGCAGCTAAAGTCCTCGCCTTGAACGCCCCAGGATGCCATATGGGCACCACTTCTAATCCCGGCAGCTCCACTTCCTATCCAGCTCCCTGTTTGTGGCCTGGGAAAGCAGTGGAGGATGGCCCAAAGCTTTGGGACCCTGCACCTGCATGGGAGACCTGGAAGATGCTCCTGGCTTCGGATTGGCATAGCATCGGCTGTTGCACTCACTTGGGGAGTGAATCATCGGACGGAAGATCTTCCTCTCTGTCTCTCCTCTCTGTATATCTGACTTTCCAATAAATAAATAAATCTTTTTTAAAAAAAGACTATAGGTCTAAGTACTCTGAACCCTTCCTTATCTTAATCATATCTCAGAGATGCTTGTAAATCTCTTCATTAGTCCCTGCCCTGTCCTCTCTAAAACCATACAAAGGATTATTTTATGCTTTTTAAAAATTGGCAAGTGTTATTTTTACTGTACTTAGAAGTTTAAATACAAGTAGATAGATTCATATGTTAAATGGCCAAAGGAAGAGTTTTGTGTGCATACTTTTTTATTTTCAATAACATAGATGTTTGCCATTTTGTGAGATAACTTCAATACATTTTTGAAATATGAAATTAGAGGTATAAATTTATAAATTTTACTCTCATTAGAATCTCCATCTAGATCAAGACAATTTGAGAAGAAATTCTACTAACCATTCAGTCCATCTCTTAACAATCTCGAGTCCTGGGAATTTAACTCTCATAATGAAGTCTTAAACATTATCACTTGAAGAAAAATCAGCACCTTAACAACAATTTAGGTTGGCAAAGAGAAAAATCAAAAGGTGCCAAACAGGGTTGTAACACGCTCCTTACTAAGTTTGCAGTTTCAAAATAGCTCTCATTGTGATGAGAAGAATGAGACGGACATTGGGTGAAAATGACTCTCCCAGGTGAGGTCTTCCAGATGTTTCTCTGCTAAGGCTTTGGCTAACATCCCCACATATTTTCACAATAAGTAGATGTTCTCGTCCTTCCACCTTTCAGAAAGTTAACAAGCAAGATGCTTTAAGCCTTCAAAAATGCTATTGCCAAAACCTGTGCTGTGACCAGTGTGCTTTTGCTTCTACGAAACCACTTCCACTTCCCAGTAGTCACTGCTTTGCCTGTTTTCAGGATCATGTTGGTGAAGCCATGTCTCATTTCTCACCCAACTCTTTGAAGTACATCAGGATCTTGATTTAGCTTGGTGCAAGTTGCCACTGAAAGCTCTGCTCTTGTCTGAAACTACTGGGGCACAATAGGTGGAGCACTCAGGAAACAGAAACTAGTTCCCCCTTCACTGTTTCACTCAGAACATATAAGCCAAACCAATGGCCATGTCTATGGTGCTCACGGTTTCTTACTATTGTTCATCATCAGCCCTCTTCAGTTAGTACATGAATAAGTTGTCATTTCCCTCAAAAGTTTATTTCGCTCATCTGCCACTGTGGGCTTCATTTTCAATATCTTTTCTTCAAAGCCTCTAGTTCCATTGGAGCATAGTCCCATAAACCTTTCATAAGGCCTTACTGATATCGCCACTCTTCAGTTTGAGCATGATCAGAAATTTGAAGTTATTGCTTCAGTTTTAGTAGAATGTGGGTTGACCATTTAGAGATATTTTTAAAACTAACCTTAGGTTTATTTGATTTTGCCCAAACATTTTAACAAGGAACTATGAGATTGTTTTAGCACAAAAGGATTACTGAAATCCATGTGTATATTTTTCATCATATGCATTTTCCAAAAACTTTCTTTTTTTTAAAAAAAGATTTATTTTTTATTTTTATTGGAAAGGTGGATATACAGAGAGGAGAGACAGAGAGGAAGATCTCTTCCGTCCGATGATTCACTCCCCAAGTGAGCGCAACGGCCAATGCTATGCCACTCCGAAGCCAGGAGCCTCTTCCGGGTCTCCCACGTGGGTGCAGGGTCCCAAAGCTTTGGGCCGTCCTTGACTGCTTTCCCGGGCCACAAGCAGGGAGCTGGATGGGAAGCGGGGCCGCCGGGATTAGAACCGGCGCCCATATGGGATCCCGGGGCATGCAAGGCGAGGACCTTAACCACTGCGCCACCGCGCTGGGCCCTCCAGAAACTTTCTTAACACTTCTCATACATGCATATGGTAACATTCAATTCACAGTTAGGCAGAAAAAGAGATTATCAAAAATTATAATAAAATAAAACAATGACAACAACATACTTTATTAAAAGTTGTGTGGATGTGATTTCTTAAGCTTTCTCAATGTAATTTTAACCATATTCACTTTTCTTTTTATCATGATGTGGGAGAGCTTAAAAGAAAGACTTAATGGCTTCTTTCTGGAATATCTGAATTGCCAACATCATCACTCTGATGCTTTGTGGCCCTTATTCCATAACATTAATTTTACTTGAACATGAAAAAGATACTGTGACAGTCAATCTGATCATGGAGAGGTCTACTGTGAGTTACGGGTACAGCATGGATCTACAAGACACAAGGATTAGGCATGCCTCAGGTGGGATGAAATGGGACTGCTTGGCACTCCATCATTCTCCTCAGAACAAGAATAGCTTAAGATTCACAGACTGTTAATGTCTGAAATATCCCAATTAGGTAGCTGAAATTCTGAAAAATTGAAAATCATAGATAATAAGGAAATACTGTGTTTGGGTTACCTTAGAGTGCAATATTGTTTATTTAACTATTATGTCAAAGGTAATGTAGATTTGTGTTTCACAGAGCACATACCGATGTGCTGGGGGATCTGTTAAGCATAATGGTCATGTTATTTGGACAGTCTTGTTAACGTTTGTCACGTTCTTCCTAAGGTGAATCTAGTAAGTCACCTTACATCACAAATCCGTGTGCATATCACAAATGAATCTACCTTTCTTACCCTCTATACAACTTCATTAATGCCAGGAAAATGTGTTAGGAGTAAATACTGAAAGAGGAAATGGAAACTTACCCCAGACACTGGAATTATTCTTTTCTTAAACCTACTCCTTTCAAATCCTAGAACAGCTTATCCACTGACTTACCAGTGGGATCGTTGGTGCACTTATGCCATCTAAATACTTTTATTTTAAAATATTAAAAATTTGACCTTGAGAGTGAAATTGTTTATCATTTATCTACCCACTCATTCATCATTTATACAAAAGTACTTTATAGGAACTCCACAAGGAAAAAATTATAGCCTATTGCAACTGAAGCTCCAAGGGCCTAAATTATGTGTCTAAATTCATACAATTAGTCTTTGGAAAGATGGGGATTTACATCTAATTTTTCCAAATCTGAAGTCCAGGAACTTATAGATTATACTTAGCTTTTCTAAACTTTCCTTCAACAGTGAAGATGTGTCCAGGCTGATAGAGGAACTGGGAGAGTAGCAGCATTTAGGGCATTTTAAGGGATATTGTGTGTATGTGTCCTGCCCATTTGTATTCACATGGGTGATGCAAGTAGGAAAGGAGACAGAGCCAATAGCCTGCATCCGCTTGTGGGTGATCCCTGGCTCAGTGAAGACAAAGCAGTTTTTCCTCAAAACATTGTAGGATTAGAATGAGAGGAGATGCAAGACAGTAAGAAAACAAATTTCAGCAAAATGTGTACCTTGATGGACTTGGACTTGGAGGTGATCTTAGAAGCAGATCTCTCTTAAAGGAACTCAGAAATCTTTTCCATCCTTTGAAGGTAGGCAGGAGAGATGAAGGTGTTTCGAGTTCCTCCACCCAAGGCACATATGTTGCCATTCCCATCTGACCAAGGAAAGCTCTAACGTGATCTATTTTTGTTTATCTTGGCATTCCCACTGTAATTACCAATTTTAGCTAATGCTGTTTTTAACATCTTTTTAGTTGTAACAATCAAGACATATATTAGTGTGCTCACATACAAAACTTATGGCATATTTGTGGACAAATTACTAAGTATTAAAATAGTCTCTAGTATACAATTTTCAGTGTTTGTCACACTACCTCTCTTGAGTTCACAACATTGTATTCTTAAAACTATTTCCGTAACACTGCTAAATTGAAAGAATCACTATAGAGGCCGTTAAGCAATAAAAATAAGACATGTCCTGTTCAGTGAGCTAAGAGTTTTTCAAAAACTGTATTCAATCAAAATTGCTGTTCTGCATTCAAAGAAAATGCTTATTATCTACTCAAAGCTTTTAAGGTACTTATATTATTATTTTTGGCATTATATTCTTAGAATAAATTAGATGCAAAATAATGGCTCCTTGAATGATATAATGCTACTTCCAAGTACTGTAAATAACTTTTTGGTAAATGATGTTAATATCTTTCAAGATGAGTTTTCACTAGAATCTGAGAGTGTTTGCTGTGGTTGAAATGAAGTAGAACTGATCTCCATTTCTTAATTGTAAAAAGTATCATTTCAAGCTCACCACTGCTAAGTACAACAATCCCTAAAGGCTTCAGCAGAAAAATAAAAGGTATTGAAAATTAAGAAAAATATATCAGCTGTATTTACCTTTATAATTTTACCACCCTAATTTCTACAAGCTGAATGATTACCAAAACTAATTACAGTTTCTATTTTTCACAACCTCTTACAAAATTTTCTCTAGATTGTTAAATAAATGCTTCTCTTTTCAGATGCAAAAACCAGTTCACAGAAACCTGAGCATTCCAAACAGTAAACACCTTTCAGTAAAACCTCACACATGGTAGCAGCTCTCACTTGACAAAAAGATGGAGATGTCGATATTCTTGTGGAAATGCATTGCTCAACAGCCTCATGAAGCAGATAGACAACAGCTACAGATTGCATGATTGACTGACCAAACTGCTACAGAATACAATCATCCGGTGACTACATCAACAGCTTTAGGCCTTCAAATACTTGTTCAACTAGTATTTTGTGGCATTTCATGTTACTGAGATAATATAGTAAGAGTCAACAGGTTTCCTCTGAGAGCCAATCTTACTTTTGTCATTTCTGCAATAAAGCTTGTCCATCTACTTAGCCTTTGAATGTCTTTTTTCATAAAAAAAATCAGAAACATAGTATGAATTCTATAAATTTAGCTTTCAATTCTATTCATCTTCTTGAACGATTGATTCAATATTTGCTAACATTAATAATATTTTAAATAACAGATCTTTTAAAATAAATACTTAACAGTTTAATTTGCTGTATTTTATATATTTGTACAGACACACAAGAGGAGGAGAGACAGGAAGGAAAGTCTTCTGTCCACTGATTCACTCCCCAAGCTGCCGCAATGCCCAGAGATGAACCGATCCAAAGCGAAGAGCCTGGACCCACCCTTTAAATTCCACCCCCTCACAGGTGCAGGGTCCCAAGGCTTTGGACCGTCCTCAACTGCTTTCCCAGGTCACAGGCAGGGAGCTGGATGGGAAGCAGGGCTGCTGGGATTAGAACCAGTGCCCATATAGGATACCGGCTCACAAGGAGAGGACTCGAGCCACTAGGCTACCACGCCAGGCCCAAAACTTAAAAAAATTTTTTTTTAAAAAGAAAATTTATCACCCTTGATATGTTTGAACATGCCGGGAAAACAGCATATGCAATTTGAGAGTCCTAAAATCTGCTGCAGGTTGTTGGCAATGCAGTCGCAGGATGGAGATCAGATATCACCAGGCCAGAGCAAAGACAAAATTTGCACATTTGGATTTTAAATGTAGAAACTTACCGGAAGTCATATGTTTATACTAATGTTAAATAACGTCTCACTACCTCTGGGGCCACAAAGCATCTTCATTACGCTCCATGGTGCAGGCTGCTCTTTGAAATTCTCAAGGCTCTAGGTCTTGGGTGGCCCATGATGTAGGAGCCCTCCCTTCCTTACTGTCTGCTGCTGGCCATACTGCGCAGAGCAGTGAGCAAGAGTGAATCTTGCTTTCCTTGAAATTTCCTCTAAATTTCAACTCCTAGTAGGTTTTTAAAAGAGGAGGAAGAAAAAAAATGTCATATTGACCACATGCATCCCAGTATGAAATCTCATACTTGTGTTTTTCCAGACACTAGGCACACTGTGTTACTCTTACACACTAGTATAAATGTCTCCTTTGGGTCAGGAAGTCAGCATTACACGACCAAACTCTTCACTCTGGTGAAGTACTTGCAGGGAGGTTGACGGTCTGCCTCTACTACATGGTATGTGACCCAGGCAGGAAAAGATGTTGGCAGAATTAAATGACAAAATACGTGCAAGACTGAACATAGTGTTCGGCCACAGTCAGCATCCTCTGAGTGTTTGCTTTCGAGTTTTTCTTTTTTTTCTATTGCAAAGCATGATAATAAACCTATCCCTGCTTAATTTATGCTCTCATGGACTTACACAGATCACAGACTATGTGATTTAATGAATCAAGAGCAATTCAGTCCTATTAAAATACACATAGACAGACATTGACAAGAATTTAAGGTACAGAAATGGTTATATATGGCATCCTTTTTCAAAATGCTATAAAAATGTAGAATTTAAAATTTAATAATACCTGCCATATCCATGTTTTGTTTTACCCATTCTGTTTCTATTTTTATTTCTCTAAATTTTTATTTATGTGAGGTGAGCAAATTTAATGAATTTCATATATGGATATTGAAGAATATAATGATACTTCCCACCCTCTCCTCTCTCCTGCCCACTCTCCCATTCTTCTTCCATCAATTTTTGTCTTTTTAATTTTTGCAATGATCTATTTTCAATTTACTTTATGATCACAAGCTTAATCCTGCACCAAATAAAGAATTCAACAGGTAGAATGTAGAAAAACCACTACTCCTCAAGAGGGCTGTAGACAAGAACCAAATCTGAAAATGTCAGTTTTGCTCGTATACATTGTTCCTTAGCAACACCTCAGCATCTTATCCATTGTAAAAACTCAACCTTTTTGAGATCTAGTGGGCAGTTAATGGCATTTGATTTTTCCGTTCTGTTCTGTTCATATATATTGCTCCAAAATCACTAATAAATGGTCTCTTATTATAGTCTGGTGACACTTAAGGCCTTCTTCACCAAAGCAAGTTCATAAACATAATAAAATGAAACACATGTGATTAAAAATTACTCCATTTGCATTAAAACATATCTATTAACACATTTAAGTCAAGGGTATAATACACGGGCTACTTTAGGAACACACTGAACGGAAATGTTTACGTGCTGGCTTATTTTCTATACTATTTACCATTGTTTAACTTCATAAAGTTCTTAACTACTTGAAACACGGAGTGACAGGAAGAGAAGGAGAGAGAAATCTTCCACTCACTGGTTCACCTCCCCAAATGCCCACAGATATGGGCAAGGCTGCAGCCGGGAGCCAAGAACTTCACCCTATCTCTCAAGTGGGATCAGAAGCTAAATGGGTGGACTATCAGCCACAGGCTCACAGGGAGTTATCAGGAGCATTATCAGAAGCATAGTATAGTTGGGACTTGTCTGCAACCCTAATATCTTTTGTGTAGAACACTCTCAAGCTGTAAAGATCACCTAAGGTAATCTCCAATGGATTAAATAATGAGAACCTTTTCTTCTTTTTTGGTGAATATTATCAGGAAAAAATTACTTCATTTTAAGGAAAGACTAGAGATACTTATAACTAGTATTACCCAAGTTAATTGCAAAGGCTTCTCCAGGAAAAGATTTCTTTGATTCAAATGTAGTATTTTCCTGAGCTATCTGTCTACTATAACATTGTTTAGACATGTTGTATGTGTGGAAGCTGAAAACAGGTGGATGGGCAAGCATTGCATTACAGTGAGCTAACCAGCCACCAGCAGTCCCATGTTGGACCACTGATGCAAATTCCAGTGGCTCTGCTTCTCACGTCACTCCTTGCAGATTCACCTGGGAAAGCAGCACAGGATGGCCTGTGTGCTTGGATCTCTGTCACCAAATGAGAAACCTGGATGAAATTCCTGGTTCCTGGCTTCTGCCTATCTTAGCCCAAACCATTGGGGCTATGTGGGGCTTGCACTAGTAGATGGAAGACTTTTTGTCTACCCCTCTCTGTCACCCTGCATTTCAAATAAATAGATCTTTTTTTTTTTAAGATTTATTTTTATTATTTTTCATTGGAAAGGCGGATATACAGAGAGGAGATACAGAGAGGAAGATCTTCCGTCCGATGATTCACTCCCCAAGTGAGCGCAACGGGCCGATACTATGCCGATCCGAAGCCAGGAGCCTCTTCCGAGTCTCCCACGCGGGTGCAGGGTCCCAAAGCTTTGGGCCGTCCTCGACTGCTTTCCCAGGCCACAGGCAGGGAGCTGGAAGGGAAGCGGGGCTGCCGGGATTAGAACCGGCGCCCATATGGGATCTCGGGCGTCCAAGGCGAGGAGGACCTTTAACCACTTGCGCCACCGCGCCGGGCCCAATAGATCTTTTTTACAGCAAAGAAACAGATAGAATTTAATTTTTTTTAAAGATTTATTTTTATTATTTTTTCATTGGAAAGGCAGATATACAGAGAGGAGAGACAGAGAGGAAGATCTCTTCCGTCTTGCTGCTTCACTCCCCAAGTGAGCGCAACAGGCCGATACTATGCCGATCCAAAGCCAGGAGCCTCTTCCGGGTCTCCCACGCGGGTGCAGGGTCCCAAAGCTTTGGGCCGTCCTCGACTGCTTTCCCAGGCCACAGGCAGGGAGCTGGAAGGGAAGCGGGGCTGCCGGGACTTGAACCGGCACCCATATGGGATCCCAGGCGTGCAAGGCGAGGACCTTTAACCACTTGCGCCACTGCGCTGGGCCCTAGAATTTAATTTTTAAGGAAGATAACTTTTTGAGAGCTGCCAAAATCTTTTCTTCAGTTGGCCACAGGCTGTAATTGTATCTTTTCCAGTTGTATGTACTGAATTATCCTTGGATGAGTTTGCTCTTTTGTGTGTGTGTGTATTTTTTTGTAATTGTTTCACTGTTGCAATTCTATTATTTTGTGCCTTTTTTTTAGTAATAAGTGTACTTTAGCATTCTATCTATTGTAAAAAATCAACATTTTTGAGATCTAGTGGGTAAGTTAATGGCATATGATTTTTCTGTTCTGTTCTGCCCTGAGCTGTCTTGTTCTATCTACAGAGGGGTTTTTGCGGGGGGTTGTTGTTTCAGTTTTTCAAATGAAGTTTTCAGTAATAGGAAGTAGAGTCAAAACTTCATGGAAATCGGTGCAATAAAACAAATTTAGTTGAGAGACAGAAATTTCAAAAAAAAAATAATAAGGCCCAGCACAATAGTGGCTAAGTTCTTACCTCGCACACTCTGGAACCCTATATGGCTCATGTCCAGCCTGCCCCACTTCCAATCCAGATCCCTGCTTGTGACCTGGGAAAGTAGTGGAGAAGGATGGCCCAATTCCTTAAGACTCTGCATCCCTGTGGGAGACCCAGAAGACACTCCTGTTCCCTGGCTTGGGATCGACTCAGCTCCAGGACACTTGGGGAATGAACAAGTGGATGGAATATCTTTCTCTTCCTCCTCTCTGTAAATCTGCCTTTCCAATAAAAAAATAAATGAATCTTTAAAAAACAAAACAAAAAGATTCATAAGTTGGTTATAGAAAGCATAAAATCCCCATGAAATTTAATTACAGGGCAGACTACAAATGGTAAGATTTATGAGAATTTCCTTAAAACCAACTTCATAGGGGGGAAGGGCTAGAGGTGACGCCTTCTTGTTTTCAAATTGGGGTATAAGAATGTCTGTAGGACCTTTATGGATACCAAGTGAAGGGGACTTGGGAAACAGAATCCAGTTCCTATCTAGGGAACTATAAAGTTGGATAATGACAAATGAGTCATTTTTCCATTCAATTGTTTGCAACTGTCAGCCATATTCCAAGTTAACCAGGATCATTTTGCTTTTTACTTGTTAAGCTTGGTGAAGCATTAAGACTGTTAATTAAAATGTAAATTAAAACATGAAAATAGATTATCTCAAAAATGAAAGAGCTAA